CTTGACCTGAGTTGGCTAATTCAATCACTTACTCAGATACAGGTTCATCTAGTCTGCTAATTCTCAATACTGGTTCTGTATATACACAAGAAACCTGGGTTAACGGAATTGTTATGACACACAGTGAATTAACTGGCCAGACTGCACTGCATTTCTGGCTGGCCTCTCACGTGGACCTTACCATTGACTGGCAGAGGGCTTTCTCTGGGGCTGTTAGGTAGCAGTCTTTTCAGTCCTACCTAGAAAAGCAGCATTCTATGCACATCAAATAGGTGCTTCGTGGTGGAGCTACAGCTTTCTCTCTAAAAACTAAAACACTCACATTCACACCTGTCCATGCGTCTCTCTTGGCATTAGGGTTGGGGCCATGGGGCTGAGATCTCCAATTGCCAAAGGCATCTGAAATGATCCTCCGGGAGCAGCAGATAATGGGGGCAGACACAGTTCCAGTGGGACTAATGAAGCTTTTTATCACGTCACAATTGAGGAAAGTCAGCAAGATGGATGTGCAATTGTGGGTGCTCATTTTGTTATTCTTTGACAGGAAATTCTTCTTCACAGCAAAATGGAGATTATTCCCACCAAGGACACATGGCTACCCAAAGGGAGGCTGTCCGTTCCCCCACACCTTGAGACCATACTGTATACTTATGTCTCAGCTGAAAATGAATTTGCAGTTTTGCTGAGGTCTTTGCTCTCCCTTCCTTCCCTCATCCTAATGATCTGCCTGCCCTCTCTTCAAGAAGAGCTTATATGCCTTGCAAATCTCTCTCTCACCAATAAGAGCACCTGCATTCATTTTGATGGAGGAGGGGAGACACATGTCCACAAAATCTATTCTCACTAAAGGTGCATTGGAAGAGGAGGCACTGAAATACTTTTTGCGCCCCAATGGCTTCTTCCAATTGACATCCTTACCTTGGTTACTGAATTAAAACTATTTTCTGTGTTTACACAGTGCCCTGAACCAATCAAATGGGTTGGATTTGTACAACAGGTGTGTATACACCCCACACACACCCTCACACACGTCCCCACATGTCCATATACACACACATACGTTCAAGCACCCTCCCTAATCAAAGCTAACACTAACTAAACTTAGTATATTTTGCAAATACATCTGCTAGGCCCTTACCAGACCTGGTTAAGCCTGCTGTGTGAATAAGGCCAATGAGACTTTGGACTATTGAAATGCTGGATTGGGACCTGGAAGAGCCAATGACACGTTCATATTCTCAGAGGCACTGGGGTGCATTTTCTTTCTGGACCACACCTTAAGGACGGAGACTATATTCAACCCAGAAGTCATCCTGGGCCATTAGCATGTCTAACTGTTGAGTATGTACACACCATATGAGGAATAGTCTTTTTTGTTTTTGCTTTTGTTTGCTTACCAAAGATTTTTTTTCTTACTTATCAGAGGGAAAAAAAATGACTTAGGTACAGGATATAAAACAACAACAACAGTATCTGCAATTGCTCTGTAAAACAACAGTTAATTAAGGTTTGCCCAGTTTTGCAGGCTTGACAGAGAGAAAATGTTTTCAATTCAAATGAAATATTATGCCAGAATATATATTATAATATTTGGAAATATTATTCCCAAAAGTAATAGGAGGATCATACTGTAAAGAAGCCGAGTTGAGTTGTGATCCTCTATCCACTCATTTAGGACTAAGATCTACTCAGATTAAGGAAATTTGCATCTGAACAGACATATATAAGATCACACTGTTCTGTAGCAAAAGCAAGGAAGAACTCTCATTGCACTTCAAAGCTTAACACAGCTACCGTTGTTCTTGTTTACTTAAAAGGAATCCAATTATATTAAGTGGCCTTTACTCTCAAGTAAGAGTGCAAAAAATTGCAGTTGTAGCTGAGGATTAGTTGAGAATAAGCCTTATTAAATTTTAGGAATTTAATTCTAAGTAAGGATGTCCAGGGTGGGGCCATAACACATTTTTAATTTATTTCGACAAAACCTACTCATGGTGGGTTTTTTGGATGAAAGACTGGTGCAATATTCTTGGGCCTGCAGTACATTTAATTGTAAAAAAGTCCACTGAACAGCACCAATCTTAGTTCAGAGTAAATCTATACAGGACTGTGCTGTTACATAATCAATTTTTTCAAAACATGCATTTGATACAAATAGCTGCACTAGACTGAAAGCACTCGGAAATGTTTAAACATGTCTCTTGATTAACGTATCTTCGTTCCTTCATTGGGAAGGTCCTGCTTCCTGTTGTTTCAGTTTAAACATTTTCTTATAAAAAATAAAGAAATATAGAAAAGAGGTCTCAAGTCAGATTTAAATTTTCTTTTATTTCAAGGGGAAACTGAAACATGTATCAGAATGTGCCAAAGAAAAATAGAATATTTTTTTTTAATGTTTAGGTTATTTTTTTAAGCTTGTCTTTGTTTATTAGGTAAAATAAAAATATGCAGCAGGCTTGGGCCCATAAAGTGCAAGAGAAATGTTCAGTAAATGGTAAGTATGACTGCAGCTATTCAATTAAGGGTAAATATTAGGGGTGAGTGCCTGAAGTTGAATTGCTGGATTATTGTGCCATGCATTACCAAGATTATGGGATTCTTGAAAATTGTCTGAGGAATAATATTAAGAAAGAAGAGACATGACCTTGACATTGTCATAGACCTGGACTGTGCACTAAGAAATGCTATTTAGAAAAGCCTTTTGCTCGAACTCTTCTCTAACGCGGTCTTGTCAGTTACACTGGACAACATTTCTCTCTCAGGGTTTCATTAGTCCTTCAATGCTTATTTTCCAATCTGCTTTATTTTAACCTATTCATCCTCTTGTCAATTTGCCAGATTGTCTTTGCAGAAAAATCCACCTGCCAGTTCACTGGATTCCCAAAAGGCCAGATTAAATAGGAGACCTCAAAGGCTAGGTGAGATTTTAGAAAAATATTTAAAATAACCATCGTCCAAACATAAATAACGTATACTTTTTTTAAAAAATCATATAAATTATATTTGGAAATTTAGAGTAATAAACTGTATCAGGGATTTTCTTTTTCTCTTTTCAAAAAGCCTGACAAACACTAACTGCGAAATGAAAGTTAAAGATACGATATAATTTAGATTAGTAGTTATGGATTTAATTATATAGGCAAGATAAAAAGATAAATTTGGCATAGAGAAAGAAAAAGCACGAGACTGATGTTGCAAGTCTTTTCCAGACCCATCGAAAATGGACAGGAGGCTTCAGAAGCGATCCTATCTTATCACAAGCATGGACTTTCTAGTGAAAGTTTTGAGCTTCTTTCAGATTTGCATAGTTGGCTCCCTTTATTTTGCATCCTGGCACAAATATACAAAGTCGCTTTAAGATGGGGAGAAGCTCTGGTAGAACTATCATCCATAATAATCAGGCTAAATTGGGTGAAACCCAGCCACAAAGAGAATGAAGTCAGCTTGCTTTAATATGGAAAGGCCTACTCATCTAGCAACAGCAAGGAGTAGGAGAGGGTTTTTTACAGGCCTCTGAAAGCCACACGGGGAAAGGTTGCACTGTAATTTTTTGTGATTTTGTTTCTTATCCCTTTGTTGCCCCACATGATGTCTCTAAATTAGTAAATTCATCTTTCTAATATGGCTGTGGTTTTTGTGAAATCAGTTGCTTAAATCAATGAAGCCATTTTGCAGGATTTGCCTAAATTTAAGCAGCCTTTTTACAAGTTCTGTGTACAGTATGCGTTTGTGTGTATTTCAGAATGTGGCCATTTCAGTGAAACAACCTGGAAAAGAACCCCGAACTATTAGGAGAAGGAAATAGTAGGGTCTTTCTTCTTTTGAAACCAAGTCGCTAACAAACGCTCTTTCAAATGAGAGACAATGTACAGATAAGTAGATATGTAGATATATAGATAAAAATATATCATAAATAAATAAAAAGGGGGAAGTGCCTCCGAACGGGAAAATCTCTTTAAAAAGGGAAAGAGGTAGAACATGAATTCGGAAATTCGCGCTCACTCGGCAACGCATTCTAGGTGGGCATAAGGACGTAGCGCGCCTCCCGGACGGCGTTAGCAGAGGGGAGGTCTCCCCATTTCTTTACCTGTCGAGGGCGGAGGGCCGAGCTCCGCCGGTTCCTCACCACCAGCACCAGAGAGTGGGGCAAAGGTCTGCTCCTCACCACATCGCCGATGATTTTCAGCAAGACGGACTTCAGGAAACGAGGCAACTTCTTGCGTCGGGCGCATCGCACAAGACACTTGACCCGGCCGCCCATGCCTGCCGCCAACGCGAGGTCTTCGGCTGGGGGGCGGCTGGCGAGCACGCGTGGCGGAGATCTGCCTTTATGCCCTGGAGATTCTCGTCACGGCATCCGGAGCAGGGGGAGGGGGCCGTTCTCGGAGCTCCTCCAGAGTCTCGCAGTGACAGGTTTGGCGCCGAGGGCACCGGGCCAAGAAGGTCCCCGAGCCGGGAGTCGCAGAGCAACCGCCTCTTCTTTTCCCCTTCCCTCCTTCCCTCCCCCGCGGGCTAAACAGCTCCCAGGTATTAAAAGATGTCGCTGGAAAGAGACGGCAGCACGCGCGGCAGAGCCTTGGGATGTGAGGGCAAGAACCGCCCCTCGCACATCGCCCCTTTCTCCTCCTCCAACTGCAGGAGGAGGAGGAAGTGGGGTGGGGGGGAGCGAGGCTCTTTGCCCAGGGCTCGCTCGCTCTGCTTTGTTTTGCTCAGTCGCTTTTACCACGTTCTTCGGCCTCTTCGACTGGAACGCCGAGCCTTCGCCGGGAGGAGGCGTTCTCTCGCTTTTTTAGCGACGGGGGAAAAGAACCAAGTTAAAAATGCTCGTTTGAATCTGCCGCCTCCCTCTCCTACTCAAGCCAAATGGTCCAATGCAGTAGTATAGAAGAGGCGGAACTAAAATTACGCTTAGCGGTCTGTCGCGCGCCGAGCGAAGTGTCGGTAATAGCTTTTTTGCAGATCTCTCTCTCTCTCTCTCTCTCTGTGCGTGTGTGTGTGTGTGTGTCTTTAATTTGCAAGCTCTCATTTCCGCATTCGGGACTATTTCTCCCGAGCCGGCTCTGCCCAATGTTTTGCCAGGAAAGCAGCAAAACGAAGTCCCTTTACGGTCCCAGATTTGGATAAACGGCATCCATTTATAATCCCCCTTCTCAGAAGGAGAATAGAAAGCAAAAGTCAGCATTTCAGAAGAAAACTTTGAAGGGTGGAAAAACGTGGTGAAAGAGACGGTTGTATATTCGGTTTGCCAGGGACGAGAGTTGCGTTTGCTGAAGATCTGCGACCGGCGACCTTTTAGCCGATTGGAGATCGGCCAGGTCGTTTGAGGTGTGTTAATTTATTTCTCCTCCCGCTGGAAGTCTGCTCTCCCTGCTTACTTAGTGGCGCTATCGATCTGCTACGACCGGACGAGGTAAGGCCTGAGTTGTCATCGCACAAAAGGATCTCCAGGCCTCGTCCATTACTGATCAGGGAAGAAAGAAGCCGCTTCTTAGTCTGGGGTGAACTAAGGGATGAATCGGATTTAGGGTCCGATAGATCCTAAACCTTCTCTGTAGCTGCGGTGAATTTTGAGAACCGAGGGAATGAAAGACAAAGAGAACATACTTTCTGGTTATTGACATTTCCGTTCCGGCGCCGTTCCGGGCATTTAGAACGGGGTGAATCTCAAGAACATCCGAGGCCGCGGGTGTCCGATCTCTTCTGACCGTTTTGCTTTCAGATAGAAGTGAGAGGCTTCTTGGTCTTTGGATTTATTTCACCCGGCTTGGTGTGCGCCTCAGAGGTGTTCCTACTTAGGCGATGGCAATAAACTCTGGCATGATCGCACCAAATATATTTAATTATCTTTCTAGTGGAGGGCCAAGCCCTTCCTTACGTATCTGTGACTCTGTAACAATAACAAAACAGTTACACTAATAATAACCCTTAACCAAACCACAGATTGACTGATTTACATTGACATTATTTCTAGAATAATGACTGAGAATATGAATTTCTGAATGATAATCCAGACAGGGCATCACTTCGCCTGTCATTTAACAGCGTATATCTGTAATCAAAATCCTTTCTATGAGAGAGGTATGATGTAATCTCGACAGGTTACAACTTATTATCAAAAACATTTTCTCTATCCCAGGACACGACGTTCTCAAATCCTTCTTCCCACTTCATCTTCAAAAATTCTCACTCTTTTGAGGCCATTATCTTACCTTTATTTGTCTGCATGTTAAAGTTACACTTTAAGTGGCTTTAAAGTCTTTCTGCTGTGTTCCCAAAGATTTCTTTTTATTCATTATTGGTTTACTGCCACCACATTCCTTTTTCTTTGCGAGAATTAAAAATATATTTCCAAGGGGAGGATCCTGTGCCACATTTATTTATTGTACTACATGTGAAGTTAAGCTTTAGAAATGATAAAATTGTTGGTATACTACTTATGGTACTTTACAGAGTAAGTCAATGAAAATGATAGAGAAATTTGTTGTATAACCTCATGGCTCGACAATACCCCTTTTAGGTGAGTTTGCCTTTGAAAACAAATGGGAAGCTGCAACTGGTAGCCCCGGTGGTAGGAAACGGTAGCCAGGCTGCTAGCTGGGGAAATCAGCTACTGCAGAATTATATATATTCTTAAATTATCACAATGGCTGTCAATTGTTTTCTGGGCCCGAGTCAAAGTGCTGTTTATCTTCTACAAAACCCTATACAGCACGGCACCACCAGTTACACGAGGGACTGCTTTCTTAAGCTTAATTCGGTCTGTATAGTCTGGTCATCTGGAAGAGGCCAGCTGAGGCTAGCTGAGAACCCTCCCCCTTCTGGATGTTCATTGTTCTTGATATTCCTCTCTCTCAAATACTTAGCTTCCAGAACATTGGCTGGCTCCAACTCTCCTTGCATTTAGAAAGATTGTTTTATTCTAATGGGCCTTTAGCTCATAGTATGTTTGCTTACGACTGTGTGTTCTGATTTTTATCTTAAATTATTATGGGGGGGGCTGTCTGCATTTTTGTTTGCTGTGCACCAGTCCGTGTGGATATAAAACTTATAACTAAATCAGTAAAGAAACATTCCCTGCGCCCAAAAAATTTAAAAGTGTATGGGTGCAAGAGAGCCTGCACACGGCCTATACGTGCATCTTTTATTATGTGCTTTCAGGAAAAGTCCTGGTGCAGAAGAAGTTTCTGGAGCTTTCTGCTGATTAATACTTGTATAGATTAAAGTAGAACTAAAACTTCTTTCTTTAATTAAAATGTGAGGGGGGGCAGGGTCTGTGAGGAAGAGAAAAAGAAAAGAAGAGGTTTGGCATGGGGTTTGAGTCTCGTACAAGGAAGTGATTACACTGCATAAAGATATCAGTTCTCATTCAGCCATCTTAATATTAATGTGAGTGTAGGCCTCAGCCTGTCTCTAGTTGTACAGCACTGAGTCTTGCCTGATTCAGGTTACTCCAACTTTCCTTTCATTTGTTCTTACTTAATTACCTCACTTTTCCACCAGAAAAGAAGATAGAGTAGATAGATCATATACGCAGATGTGTGTGCAGTCATTTTGCTATGATTAAAGGCAAAATTCCCTTTTCACCTGTTCTATTAATACCCATTACAGCAACTAATCTGGTTACTCAGATTATAGAAAATATTCATTCTTTAATCATTCCTTAGGAAAACAGTAATACTGGGAAGATGACACTAAAGTTGATTAATATTTTACCTTGCCTCTGTCACCATGATCATTGTTAACAATGTATCTCTGGGACCTGCCTTTATGTATACAGTACATCAGGGTTTCTCAACCTTGGCAATTTTAAGATGTGTGGTCCGTAAGTCTTAAAAGTTGCCAAGGTTGAGAAACCCTGCAGTACAGTACCGGAGTGACTATTTTGAGAGAATAACATTTTAACTGTTTAAGCAACTTGAGAGTAAGTTTATTGTGCTTTCTCCTAGAAATATTCTCATGTCGTCTGCCTTAGATATGCTCGAGGCTTCTGATAGGCAAGAAGGATTGAAAGGTTTGCATTATCCATAACAGTAAAATACAGTGTCCTTATTTTTTTTAAAAGTAAGTATTTATTTCTAATACCTATTTAACTTTTCCCTGAGATAGGATCAGAAAAAGGTATTTAGTTACTTCTTATTGCACAAGAATTTGTGATAATTACGCATTTATGGTAATAAAATGGAAGTAGAAAATGTGATTGATCTGAGAAATTTTAATATATTGTTCCTCTAGATCTGCTATTTGAAAGTTGAATGGCTGGTATATTAGTGCTTTGTTGATTTATCAGTGTTAGTGGCAGAGGGCTGTAAGATGTCATTGTTTCTTCAACCTTTTTTATATATCACTTTCTGTACTTAGAGTTGCACCCTTAAGGCATCGAAATAGCATCATGATAGTAAACCATAACATACTTGCAGGTTGTTATACATTCTGCTGAGGATACCCAGTTAATTTAACATGATCCTAGAAGGGTGAATATATAGAATTTATAATGCTATCAGAGCTTCCCCTGATAATGGACAAAAAAGATTAGCAAAGTATAGGTGTTCTCTTAATAGCATTTGGATATACTTATCTTCGTTTCTATTCAACCTTTCCCAGTTTATTGTCTTCTGGATATGTTTGGGAATATGGGACTTGTTTTTCAGTCAGGAAGATCAGTGGCCATTATAGATAGGAATTTTGGAAAATGTGGTTCCATCACATGTGGAGATCAATAGATTAGAGAAGGATCTTTTATTTATAAAGATTACCCATTGTATTGAAACTTTTAAATATTTATCTTACTAAAGTTATCTCTTAACATTTAATCTCTTCTAAATACTGAAATTTAGATAATTTTGTAGCCAGAGTGATCTGTGGGGATATGCAAAATATTTTGAATTTGAACCATTTAAAAGTTGAAACCTCCATTTCCAATGAGAAGAAAAAATTTTTTTATATTATTTTGGAAGTTGTTAAGTTTGAAGCAGTTCTGTTTAGAGATTAAACATTGTTTTTCAACTAAAAACATTTAAAAGATGATTGAAACAACTGTTTTCCCTATGAAATAGGGTGGTTCAGACTTAGTGCAAATCTGAAACATTTTGCACATCCTCTTGTTCTCTGCATTTTATGCTATTTTTTTTTTCTATCTGGTTTCATTAACAATATGTTATAGCATGGATGTAACTCAATTATTGTTTTGTTAGCCACCCAGAGTTATTTGTTTAAGAGACAAAGCTGTATAAATTTATAAATTTAATGTGTATTCAGACAAACAGATAAATAAAGGCGCCTTTGGGAATAAAATATTCAGAAAATATTTTGACATGTGGAAATTATTAATATATGTTTCCTTCATTTTATCCTCTCAATAACTCTGTGAGGTTGGCTAGCCTAGCAGATAATGATTGAGCTTCAAGAGTATGCAGGATATGAATTCATTTTAGGTTTAGTGGGGCATTTTAATTGCTATAGTACCTCTATTCTCAAAAACACACACAATTGGTTAGTTACAACTAAACCATAAGGTTTGCTTGTTGTTCAGTTTTTGAACTGGCTCAGGATCTTTAGCAGGTTCTAAAATAACAACATTAATTTGAGCTAGACAAACTTGGGATTTCAGTAGCATTATGCTTAAGGGATTGTAATTATTCTTTTCATCTCTTCCAACCTCCACATTTAACTAATGCATTCTCACAAGGGCCATTGGTCCAAGGTTAATTAGTATAATACATTTTGAAGGTAACAGCAATCCACCCTCATAATCCAGGACAAATAGAAAATCTTATTCCTGTCCACCGTGACTCTCTTGCTCTCATTTCAAAATTGCTGCGTCACTCTGATTACCAAAAATTATGCAGCCCGGTTTTAACTGGTAATGAAGATCACAAACACGTTCTCTGCAACAGAAGGAAACTTAGTACTAAAGAGTTCTGCATGGAGTTGAAAAGATACAACTGGATCACATCTTTCCCATAGGTAACATTGTACTCCGAGGTTGATCAGTGTAATTTTGTCCTGGCTTACTGCTTCTATTAGAGGCCAAATCACCTTCAACAGCAGTGAGTAATTTCTCAGTGATGGCTCCAAGTTTACGAAATGTACATAGCATGACATGCAACATGCTCTAATAAATTTGCAACTTTCCCACTTTTTTTTATAAGAACTTTATTAAGTTATAAAAAGCATACAGATAAAAGCAAACAAGAACTAATAATCAAAGAGAGAAATAGAAAACTTTGTTGTACTTTTTAAAAACACAACTACTCTTAACATATCCCACAGATAGTAGCGATCCACAACTGACTTTTATTAATATCAAAAAGTTAATTGGAACTGGAGATGGTTGGGAATTGTACTGTATGGGAGACCTATCAGAAAATCCCAGAGCCATAGATTCGATTGGGAAGTCGAAGAAGCATCCTGGATAAAGATAATGGGATCTTTCCATATTGTTTCAATGAACTTCATGGACAAATCGCTAGGAACTGACATGGCAGTTTGCCAATTCATATGATAGGTGTAATCAGTCACAAAACACCTAATTAACCAGAAGGCAAATCAGTAACCTTGCTCCTCACTCCTTCCCACCTTGTCCAAATGCTTTTATTTTAGGGATAGGTGGCCCATTTCCAAACATACTATTGAGCTACAATCATTCACCATTTTTGTTTTCTAAGGTTGCCTTGTCTAGCCTATATCGGGAGGAAATAAAGATTAGAAGGTTGTGCTTTGCTGCAAGGGTATCTTTTCAGGGGGAGTCTTTTTTAAAAGAATCATAAATACAGTCAGATGGGGAGGGGTGGAAGAATCATCTGTAGGTGCATTGGTGCCCATGGGCGAAGTCTTGTTTGCCTGTCGTGATATTGTTGAAAGTGTGAATTCATGGAAGTGACTCTTCAGCACCTCAGAACCTTCTGACTACAAGGGGACATTGGGGTGTTGGTAGGGTGCTAAGGATTTTTCTGTGCCCCCTCTTTGTCTACCTTTCTGCCTGCTCTTTCTCTAAGAGACTTCTGGTGTCTGGTTGCTTCTTTTTGCACACGTGCTCGGAGCACCCAATCTTTGATTGTCCACTTGATAGGATGTCTCTAGCTAAGTGCTAGTCTTTGCTTATCCCTATGATGCATTTCCTGTAAATAAATCTTTCTGTTATATTTAAAAACTTGTTTCTCTAATTCTTGTTCAGGTCAGATTCCTGTTCCCAGAAACATTCATGTGCACAGATAGAATACTTCCATTTCCCACTGAGATGAAAACAGTGGTTCATAAAATTTACCGCACAGCTGGCAGTTTTTAAACCTGAGGCCTAAATCACGACAATGGAGTTATTTGAGATGTCTATATCTAGTGCCCCAGCACTCAAGATTTGGACCCGAGAAGCCTTTCTGGGAAGGCAGTTCCATAGCAAAGGTACTGTTGAGGTCTATTTTGACAGTGCTTAATTTTTATATCATGATGATGATGATGATGATGATGATGATGATGATAGTAATAATAATATTTCTTTTGGAAAGGAAAATCACCAGCCTTCTTTTGAGTAAACCACAGCAGCAGAGTATGAGTATTCACAAACTCAGTGTTTGCTGAACAGAAAGACTGCTCTAATTGAAGGAAGAGGTGTAGGGCAGTGTTGTCCAAACTTGGCCACTTTAAGATGAGTGGACTTCTGGCTGGGGAATTCTGGGAGTTGAAGTCCACTCATCTTAAAGTGGCCAAGTTTGGACAACACTGCCCTACACCTCTTCCTTCAATTAGAGTCTTCTCTACTCACTACAGAAGCAGCTCCTCACTTGTGTAGTCTCTAATTGAAGGAAGAGGTGTAGGGCAGTGTTGTCCAAACTTGGCCACTTTAAGATGAGTGGACTTCTGGCTGGGGAATTCTGGGAGTTGAAGTCCACTCATCTTAAAGTGGCCAAGTTTGGACAACACTGGTGTAGGGGGTTGGAGAAGAAGGAGATAGAGATGACAGATGCCAGAGGACAACAAAGAGAAACTTACAGAGAAATCTCCTACTGGATTACCTTTATACACTGTCTGGTCTTGACTCAACTCATTACTCAGGCATTAAAGAGAGCTGGTTCCTCAAATTGGAAATTCTTCCTCAGGCGGGAAGAAAGGAAGCCAGAGACTACACAAGTGAGGAGCTGCTTCTGTAGTGAGTAGAGAAGATAGTCTGAATGGAGGATCTGTTACCAATGCAACAAACAGAGAAGCAAGGCTTAAGCCCATACAAAGAAAGAGATTTATGAAAATATCTCAAATGGGCACCTCCCTAATTCGTATGAAGATGAAACAGAGGAGGGGAAGCGCATTCAGACTTGGAAGATTCCGTTACTGTAGCCATTTTAGGTCTATGAGGTCTACCTTGTAGGTCTGACAGCTTATATGGCCACAACTGAGGTTTGTTTGTGATGGTTGCTGAGAGAGCAAGAGAGCAGTCTACGATGGCTATTCCAGAAGAGTTTATCTCCTTGGTTAGGCATTTTATTTTGAACATTACTTTGAGTTCTTGGTTTGGACTGCTGAGGCTCCAAAGAATCTGTTTGTGCTTTTGTTTTCAAACCCTGTCAAGAGACAGGGAAAAGAAAGATTCTCTGCACCTTTGGAAAATCCAGTGTTTGCTTTCTGTCACTCACTAGTCAGCTCCCCACCTCTCTGTCTACAAGGGTCTCTGCCACAGCCCTTTGCCCTAGAGCAGTGTTTCTCAGCCTCGGCAACTTTAAGATGTGGCTGGTTGGGGAATTTGGAGTTGAAGTCCACAGATCTTAAAGTTATTGGGGTTGAAAAACACTGCTCTAGAAGATCTGTCTTCAGAACTACTGCCAATTCCTTCCAAAATGTGGTCCCTGGCTGGGGAAGAGAAATGTTGCTGGTTTTTTTTTTTTAGTTTGGTTATGACTCAGTGGAACATCCTATTTTGGTGACTGAATTGAAGTTGAAGTGGCTTTGTTTTTCAGACTCTGCCCAGACACGTTTTTCTGCAGTTGTCCATTAATTACATTTATTGTTTAGAGTTTTACCCTTCATATATATGGTGCTTCATGGGTTTTGGCTGAAACTCTCTAGAGACAATGGAGAAAAATAACAGAAAGGCAGAAAGAATCATTAGAAGCATGTGAAAGGAGACAGTTGCTTTTGGATAACCTGTGCCCTTCCCTATGTCCCTAACAATTAGCTCTGTTCAGCAGGGCTGATTTGAGCTGGAATCCAACCTTATGCGGAGGATCAAAGGTTCTCCACTACTCTCTCCTTTCATAATCCTTTATATTTATGTGCCTTTCAAGTTTGCTTACAGCTGTGATGGGTTTCCTTCTGAGTAAACTTGTTAGAATGACGCTATCATGTTTAAGCTCATCCTGTTGTTGACTAGGGAAAGAAGAATCCCCATATTGTATCAAGAGGAAGCAAGCTTTGGAGATACTGTTTTAGTGAATTAACATTTGTAGTTTTTTGTACCCCCAAATATAGAAAAGATGATGAAAAGGCAATGATAAATGTTGTGATAATGTTGAAAAATGGTAAAGCTGTGGATGTTGATGGTGCAACTGCAGAAATATTAAAATATATATGTAGTTTGTGCAACTTGTTTAACGTGAGTGAAAGCTGTTTCTGCACCTGGTGAAAAATGTCTTCTTCTATATTACAGGTTCTCAAACTTTGCAACACCATCACCCTCTGCAATAATAAAATGAATTTTTGCAACCCTTCCATGAATAAAGCTAATGATTTCACTGAGCTAAGTGATTGGGCAAGATAAATACACCATTTATTTTAATAATTAAATCTTAATCAATATATCATATAAAAGAATCTTACAACTTCATAATATAAAACTGTTTCATTGGAAATAAGCAACCCAAAAATCCTCAATAAAATTTAAATACATATTTTAATGGGAAGGAGGAAGTTACTTTTGCAAATTCCTGAAATCTGGCTTTTATTTTCAAGACAGACACTTATTTTATCAAAGTCAAAGGGAAAGGTATTTCTTTACCATAAATCAGCTGTTCTTCAACTACTCTTAAAATGCTTCAGTTTGCAAAAAAAGATTACTTTTGGCATCCTTTCTTCCAGTACAGCCACACATTCACAGCCTTCACTGTCCTCTCCCCTTTGTAGAAGTTCCTCTGCGGAGTAAGCATTACATCAGATGGTCAGAGCTTTGAAAGAATCCAGATAGGATTACCCCTTTTCTGAAACGTAAATGCCAGAGTGCTAAACTTCCCCAAAAGTATACTCAAACTTCATGCAGGGCTTGAACATGCAGGGCATTCCTTTGCATGCAACATACTTTTGCACTGAACTGGTTAACCTACCTGAAAAGCAGTGTGAGAAAGGCACTTTGGGGCCATCCATTGTCTTCTGACCCCCTGCTGGTCATGTTTCACACTGAGAAACATGCTATACTAAGGGAAGGGGTGCGAGAGTAAAAGCAAAAACGGTAAGGGGATTGATTTGGTAAGTAAAAGGAAAGTTTACTTTCCTGGTAAACACTATCCAGGAAAATGTGTGGCAGAATTCTGATTGAAAGGGTAGAAGTGTCAGTAAGCAAAATTTGTGAAGTGCAGGGCAGATTTATATTGGGCAGGGGGTGTGTAGACCAGCTTTTGCTTTTTGGCAAGCTGTTGAGGAATACACAAATGTGAAATGGAATATTTATTGTGTATTCATTGATTCAGCGAAAGTATATAGTAAAGTGAAGAGGCCTTTAAGTGAATCATCTCTTTCATTTCTTTGGCCTACTACTTCTTACTCCTTTTCTGCACTTGGTGTAACACTACTTTTTGCCTGAATAATGTGATGGGTATCTATACATGTCCATGTCAGGGTTTCTTGCCTTCTTCTTTAATATTACCAGATATCTAAGGAGAATCTTCATTTTATTTGGTTTTTGCATTTCAGGTTCTGTTTTATTTTAGGTTTAAGACTCTTAATATCTGGCCTCCTTAACATCACAAGAAATACAAGAAGTTCAAGAAGCTGACATTTGCAAGACAATAAAAAACTCAGGAGTCCCCTGTCTGGAATTTATAATAAACAGCTGGAAAGCCAGAAGGTACTTTGTAACTTTAGTATTTTTCCAATTATTTATTATTTCCAATTATTTATTAATTATTCAGAAAGTGAAATCCTTGTTCTTTATTCTGGGACAATTGTAATTGTAATTATTACTGATTGTGCTAATTTCTTTTCCTTTTCTTTCTAACTTTATCAACTTCGTACTCACAGGCTACTTTTTTTTTTTTTTACTGGCATGTAGCATTTCTTACAGGAAAATCCCTGCCTTGGCATTTTCAACCCTCCTAATACTTCTTACTGACATCTTCCATTCCTGTTTTTTATTTCAGTGCTGACTTTTAAAAACGATATACCAAATCATGTGCCGTGGCAGATGTGGACAGTCTTTTTCATCTAATGATCAGGTTTGTTTCTGAGTTAGGAACTTTGATAGCCATATACACTTATTAAAGACATCCTACCTTTTACCCCTCATATATGCCATATAAAGACCACTTAGTGGAGTAGTAAGTTGTTATGAGGGGATCCTGCTGTAAATTAGTTGTTTCTTCTTATTAATGAAAACAGAGAAATGACAATCTGCAGCAAATGTCTGATAGGAATGGGAAAGTCTGTCCAGCTAAAACTTCTGTTGCGAAGTAGTTTATCTAGGCAAAGCCAAGAGGGCCTTTTATGAGGTTTAAAGTCATAGACGTGTGGCAGCTTGCTCACGTGGGTACCAGTTTTACAGTGTGTATGCATGTGTGTGTATGCATGTTAAAATTCAGAAGCTGTAGTTTTGGTTTTAGAATGGCTGTTAGAGCAATTTTAATCATGGCTATTCCCTATAAGATTGAAGAGAAGGGTGTAAGTCTGCTTTGAGCAATCTAAGTTGGCTTGAGTGTTTATATAAGCAGAAAGAATGGGTATAAATGTATAAATGGACAAGAAATTTAAAAGAAACTTCTGGAAAAGATTTCTTCATTCTGGCATTTGCATTGAGATAGGTAGACATTCTTGTGATTAGAGAACCTGGCAAACAGGTAAGTGGGTGCCCATTCAGATAGGTACTGGCCCCTCAGTTTAGAGACTGTTAATTAGCAATTTTGCAATTATCAGTCTAGGAAGTAAATGCATAGTCATAGCCAAATTCTATAGGCCAAGGTAATGTGTTGTCATCTCAATCATGGCAGGGCTATTGTTTCTGAGTAAAATTTAGGGCAAGGACTGAATATCAAAAGAGTCAGCACTGTAGGTTAATTGATTTAAAGCAAAGTATGGGGCTGGAGGCAACACCTAGCTTTTCTAAGCTGATCTTAAAAAGCTAAGCAGGGTCAGACCTAGTTAATAGTTGGATGGAAGAACATCAGAGAAATCCCAAGGCTATTGATTAGTTTGGAAAGTTGAACAACATCCCTGAAGAAAGCAGAGGAAAACATTTTCATATTGTCCATGTAGGTTTCTTGGCAACAACTCAACAGGAGCTGAGTTTGGCTCAAGGCACACCCAGAAGGCTGGGCTGTCGTAAGAGTCAGTCTAATGCTGGTGTGCATTACGTGGGCTAAAATTGAGGAAGCTCTATGTTTTCACTTCAGCACAGTGGCACGGATCAGTTCTGATTTCCAGCACTTGCCTACTTTCGGGTAGCCCCTCCTGTGCCAAATGCTCCTCTGTGCAGCTGTGCCTTCCTCCACTTCCTTACTTGTCATACAGAAGCAGAGGCGTTCCTGAGGGTGGAAGAGACTCCAGTCCAAGGTCTGAGTCACACATCAGACCTGAGGCCCTCTGAGGCTGTTGCTAGGGCTATGATTCTCTGCGTCTCACTTGGATTGGTTTATCTCAATCCTTCTCCTCATCCTAGGATGACTCTTCAGTTTCTTGGGGAAATGACAGCATGTGACATAGTCTTAATCCTATTTGGCTTTCTAAACCTACTGTTATTATTTTCATTTTGAAGCAATCAGAGATTATCTACTGATCAGCTTTTGCCTCACTCCTCTCTAGAAAATTTAAAATAGAATAATTCATCCAGAAAGCACTGAGATTTCCAAAGAGAGAGTCTGTTAACTGCAGTTTAAGATGATGCAGAAAATGGCATCATTATTTTCCACTGGCAAGGTATAATCCAGCCTTCCCCATACTCTCTAGGACTACAGTTCCCAAAATTCTCAGCCAGCATGGCCATTTATTTATACAGCACATTATACTCTCTGATTTATAATTTACCAAGGCTGTGCAGTGCTTCAGATTAGAAGGCAAAAAAGTGCTCTGGAACATACCGGGCTGTTCACGTAGCAGTTATCTGTAACTCCTTAATCCGAAGTGGTCTTACTTTGGGATTGCATAGCATCTGCAGAGAACAGCTGCCAGAATCCTAGGACAAGAGGCAGCTACCTTCAGGAGTTAAGAGTACTCTTATGTGCTCAAAAGTACTTCTGTTGCCTTTGAATACTGAATCTTGCACAGTCCTAAAATTAACCAACAGAAGGAGAATACACTACTTTCCCCTGTATCTTCCTGGCAAGAAAAAAATTATTTTGGCTTAAGGAATAAAGAAAATAGTGGTGATGGTGATGATGTAGCAGTAGTAGCGAAAGTGGAAAGTTTGAAGTTGCCTATTCCAATCAAGGTTCTTTTACTAGTAATATCCCAGATGGGGTTGGGGCTTGTTACTTATATACCACTTGCATATGGTGCTTTCTAGCAGTGGCTTTCCTGCTGTTCCAGATTGGGGGGGGGGGGGGTTTTTTTTTTTTTCTTTTTTTTTTATGGGGCCCCCCCCAAACCCCCCCGGGGGGGGAGTGGGGGGGCATACAAGTTTAACAATAAATAAATAAATAAATAAATTTAATGTAATTTAATTTAATTTAAATAAATAAATAAATCTCCCCCCCCCCAAATCTGAAAAAAAAGAAAACCCCCTCCAAA